TAAAAAAAAAACAATAATTGCATTTTTTATTTCAATAACGCATGAGTAAATAGGGATATGAACGCAGATTTAATATAGGCCCATAGAATTACGGGGACCGGCAAGGATTTGGAAAGTCTGAATGCAAGTCCTGCTTACACCTAACAAGTGCTGAAGTGGGACATAACCAGAGGTAGAAAGGTCTCGGAAGCACTTGGGAAGAGGCTTCCCAAGACCTATCCAGTTCTGAACGGAGAGACCTAAGCAGAATTTGTCAGGTCCAATTATTCGACTCGGGCTGTTCTCATCTTCTCCCATTCCACAATAAATCGACCCCCAAAGAACTGAATAGGCATACAAGTCATTCATTAATCTTTTATCGTGTACTTTAATCTCTTCAATTATATTCCATAATGCTCCTGATGTTATTCCATAATGCTCCGATATCATCGAACCAGCATTTTACACCTTTGATGTTATGAACATCATCAAATTTTAGGGCAATCATTAAATTGAGGGTAATCATAAAATTTTACAATTAAACTTCGCGGAAAAATTTCAAAACATAGTGGACAATCGGAATCAAATGGGCTTTAAATGACAGCTCTGATGTTTAATTGCAAACGAGTGCCTCTACTATAGAGTAATTTCCACAAACGCCATCTTTACGAAAATATTACAGGAAACCTGGTAGTTCGTTTGCCCCGTTCTCATCTTCTCCCATTCCACAATAAATCGACCCCCAAAGACCTGAATACTCATACAAATGATTCATCAATATTTTATCGTCTACTTTAATCTCTTCAATTACGTTCCACAATGCTCCTATATCATCGAACGAGATCAAATTGATTCTCCACGCGGGATAGACCCTACGATGAGAATGATTAATACCAGAATAGATTGAATTCAAAACGTGAAAAAACGAATCTTCTAAATCCCTGCAATTTGCCTCACCAGATCCTGTACAATGAACCGTATTTCATCCGGAGAAAGGATGTGCGATAATTCATGAAAAGGGAAAAGAACGATTAACCCAAAACGGTAAGTGACTTACCTTAATGACTTCCCGTCTGGCTTCTTCTCCCGCTTGGACTGTAATCGGTGGTATCATTGGCAGTTGAGGTGCATTGTCATTGACATCATTAAGTGTTACTACAAATGACAGTGGGGCGGATGCCGCCACACCAGTTTTCTCTCTCGCTACAACTTGAAATCGAAAACGTCCGGGACTCGGTGGATCACGATCGAGATTCTCCTCGTTCACTACTAGAGTTCCGGATTGATCGATTGAAAAGAAATTAGTTGTTAATTCGAACGTGTAATTTGGCTTAGGATCCTCTGGTCCCTGTGGACGAGAAACAATTTGATTTATTTGACTGGAAGGATAATCTGTCACGTGAGAAGTGAAGTGGATTGATGAGTAATTGACAATAAATGATGATACACGCGAAGAACCCTTCATGTAAACTGATAAATCGTTTTTGCTTGATAATTTTTATTCATGAGTTCAATGTTTATTCCAACTAAGTGAATTTCTGCGTATGGGGTTTTACTAGGGATTACTAGAATTGGAAAAAGCTTTTTTTCACAGAGTGAATAAGCAATCGCGAACAATTATTCCGTCGCATCGATGTGATTGTTCTGAAAGAATTGTTTGGATTCATGCAGTAGTATAAATTATGGATAAATATTGCAATTTTTGTCGACAAGGGTGATAAACAAATGTGAACATGTATCTGGCAGAGTTATGAAAAGTAATCATCGAGTCCATATTGACATGTTTGTTGATAGGGATTTGTATGGAAATTTTTCTCTCGCTGAGTATGAAAATTAAATAATGAAAAATTATTACGTTATAGACGATCTGAAACGTCCACATTGTGACTTTCTAGGAATGGATTGATGAGTAATTGACAATAAGTGATGATAATAAGACTTAAAATGCGCACGAAGAACAATTCATTTAAATTGATAAATCGTTTTTATTTGATATTTCTTCATTGAAAACTCGATATTTATTCCAACTTAATGGATTTCTGGTTTCTGCGTATGGAGCTTTACTAGGGATTACCAGAATTGGAAAAAGCATTTTTCACAGAGTGAGTAAGCAATCGCGAGCAATTATTGAGTCGCATCGATGTGATTGTTCTGAAAGAATTGTTTGGATTCATGCAGTGGAATAAATTATGGATACATATAGCAATTTTTGTCGGCAAGGGCGATAAACAAATGTGAACATATCCAGCAGAGTTATGAAAAGTAATCAACGAGTCTATATTGACTCGCTGATTACTTTTTTCTCTCGCTGAATATGAAAATTAAATAATGAAAAATGATTACATTATAGATGATTTAAAGCTTCTACATTGTGACTTCATAGTATTCATATGAAAGATTTTTTGAAACAGAAGATAAGTATCTAATATTTTCAATTCTATTTTAATATAACATCACTTCATTCAACAACAAAAATGTACAAGTAGGAAGTGATCTTGGAAGAAAATTTGAAACGACATTTGTAGGTTCAAAAAATAGGCAGTAGTTACATATTTGTTGAAGAGCAGTCAAGGGTTTATTAATAATCATCATGAAGTCTCTCCAAAAAATCCTATTTTATTCCCCCATCATTTGTTCCATGAATAATAGGAATATACTCACCAAATCAGCATCAGACACGGTGAGTTTGATGGCGGCCCCACCCTTGTCAATGACTTTAGTTCCAATAGGTGCATTCTCATCAACAAATCCCTCGACTGCGGATGCAGTAATAACCGGTGGATTGCTGTCTACCGGCTTAACAGTAATCGTAAGTTTCGCCGTGGTAGAACGTTTTGCTTCCGACACTTCGACAGCCTTTCGTGAGAGGAGAAACTTAATTATTATGTGTATCGAAGCGACTGAAGCCCCATGTATCCCAACAACTCGTCTCAACTCAATCGAAACTCCCCGTATAAAGTGTGAAAGTGCATTTACCTTGATGATGATATCAAACTTCTTGGTAACAGTTGTATCCACAGCTCGTATTTGCTTCACAGCACCAGTGGTTGGATTGATCTCAAAGAAATCACGATAATTTTCGGGCTTGCCACTCAAAAATGAGTATTGAATTGGCGCATTTATGCTGTCCATATCGATGGCCTGAATTTTCTCCGGTGATATGTTGAGTATTCCGGACAGTACACCACTGGATACCTGATTAATGAGATCAGGTGAGTCAGATTGTGAATACACGTATCTTGCATTAGGCTAGAGGTAAGTGGCCATGTTTAGTACGCTTGAGTGGAAACCAAACCAATTTACCATATCAGTGGTTTTATTTTGACTACGTGTCCAACTCAATTTTTCGTACAAATGATTTTCACACAAATTAGGGGAGGTTGTTGCTGCTCTCCTCACTCCCGTGTACTAATTTCTTATCGATTTGCAGGGATCATTAACAATACATGAACATTACTTCGAACTTTGTGAATAGAAGTATTTGTAAATGTAAAGTTAGAAAATGGGAATTGAATCTGGGCGTAGAGGGAAGTTGAATGAGTAATAACAAATTGTTCGGGGTGATGGAATCGTCTTGTAAGCTGATATTTTAAGAATTTTTTCAAAAAATGTCTCCGAATTTAATTGGAATAGAATAATTTTCTATTGAAAAGATCGATGAAAATTTCCTCAGATTACTGAACCATTCAATTCATTAAATTGTATTAAATTGAAAATTTGGTACGTTATTTTTTATTAATGTCCATGTCAATTTTTTACATAAATTAGGAGAGAGCTGCTCTCCTCACTTTCATGTCGATTTGCAGCGATCGTTAATAATACATCATCATTACTTCAAAAGTTGTGAGTAGAATCATTTATAAATCAGTAGTGAATAGAAGCGCTAAACCGTTTCAAGTCGATTTAGGTCTCATCTGAGTTTTTGAGAAATATCTCCGAATCTAAGAGAGATAACAAAATTTTCGTCAAAATCTTTTTTGTGGAGCGAATTAAGGGCTATCAAAAATATTTTAATAAAAAATTTGCTATTTCCCTTAGATTCCAAGATATTCATTGAAAACTGAATATCTGAAAACTTAAATGTAAAATTGGAAAATGGCAATTGAATTTCGGTGATGAGTACAGTTGAATGATTCTATTTGAAAGGATTTGCACAGATCATTAATAAAAAAAATGTTTGGGGTGATGAAAATAATCCATGGAAATTTCTCCATCTCCTTGACATCCAAAGATATTCATCCTCTAGGTTAAATTAACTTATCTCGTTCAACTACTCCACAACTCGGATCATTTTTCACTGAAGTCTGGCTCAATTATTCATTCAAATTATCTCCCCACAAATTAGAAGAGAGCCAGAAGTAACCATCAACAATCCACGAGCGTTACTTGAAACTTCGCTAGTAAATCAATGAATAAACGTAAAATGAGAGATTGCTGATGAAATCTATTCAAACTGCAGTGGAATAATTTGCATTTGTAAAATGCTGGGGAGGTAATTAATGGAAAATGGTTTGGATAGTAAATTGAACTTACAGAGGCAGAATACTCGGTGTTGATACACGCCCCATCCAGCAACATACACCCGGTGTAGATAAACGATGGATCCTGATCGTCATCGTCCCTTATGTTGACCGTCAGCGTTGTAGTGGACGTAAATCTCTCAGAGACATTTCTCGCGCGATCCTGCAATGACAAATTGATTGGTTACCAATTAGCTGTGACCAGTAGCGCATGAAAAAAACAAAACTGTAGTTACGAATCAGCTGATGTAATCGATGTAACGGGTCGGAGAAAAATTGTGTAGTCATGTTTAACAAGTGTTTGGAGGTATTCGATGAATCCCGATGGATTTATAGAACAAATAATGGGGACAAGAAAACAAGGAGATCGGGGGAGAGTCGATTTAGTAGGACGTGCAGATGACAATTTCCTCTAAATTCTCGTGAATATCATTGCGATAGATCAGCCGTTACTTTTAATTCGCAAGAACTGGCTAAAATAATTTAATTTGTTGCTGAAATTATGTGGGTGACAGTTAAAAATTCAAGAATGGATGGTCATTCAAATTCATTCAAATTACGTTTCGCAAAAAATTATTCACTTTTTATGAGTGACAAATTAAAATTCTATATGATTTCACAAATATGTTTGTTTGGATGTGGAATTAATTTTAATTTTAATTCTCAAAAATTTAGTTGGTAAAAACTAGCTGAAATAATTAAATTTGTTGCCGAAATTATGTGAGTGAAAGTCAAAACTTCAAGAATGGATGGTCCTTCATATTACGATTTGCAAAAAATTATTTACTTTTTATTTGAATGAAAAATTCAAATTCTACAAAATTTCAGAAATATTTTTGTTTTGGCGTGGAATTGATTTTTTATGAAATTTTGGATGTTGACACATTTTTAACGATTTCGATAAAATTAGTTTTGGAATTATCGTGATTTCATGGATCTTCACTGAAACGTAGACTTTTTAATTTTTTCAGATTTTTTAAATATCTCCCAACGGTTAAAAATTAAGGTAATTTAGACCTTCAAAGTTTAAATAATGAAGTTATTAAAATATTCGGTACCCAAGGGTCAAATGGGGTTTGAAATTCAGAAGAAAACATAAATAGAAATGAAAATGAATTCTTCAATAAATCTTAAAATTCAATCAATATTTTTTACACAATTTTAATGGTTATTGGTACTCTAACGAATGAAGATATGGAAGCAAGGAGTCTCACAAAACTTTTTCCAGTTCCTTGTACTTATAAATTAAACAATAGTCGGACGGAAGGCCCTTGCGGTATCTTTTGACGAAAATAGGGAAGAGGCTGATGATAAAATGAAATCATAATTAACACTGGGGATGAGCGGCGAAGGAGCCGGCCAATGGGACATATCTTCCATTATGAGAACCCAATCATCCGCAGTGAGGCATCAGTGATGCTATGTTATTTCAGTCCCAGTCGGCGGTTTCAAATTATTAGGTAACCCGGTCATATTGTCCGAACAATTGTCTTGCTGCCTTTGTGTCAGCACCAGTATTCATGTCTCGACGCAATTTCGTCTCCTGTTTATTTCCTTCATTCAGTGAGTTAATCGGAAAACCGTGAATTTCATCTCGATGCAAAAAAACTTGTGTGACGGAGAAAAAATTTCGTATTTCAAGAACAATTCCTAATTGAAAAGTGGAGGACATTATTGGGTGGCGCACGTGGTATCCTAAATTGAGATGAAAATATTTTCTCAAACAAGTTGTGTTTGAACCAGAATAATCGCAAGCTAAAAATTACAGAAAAAAATGAAGACAATGTTCACATGAAAAAAGATTTAGTTGTGCTATCATTTGAGCCCCATTTGTTTCCAGATATTTTACAATGATTTTATTATTTAAACTTTGCAGGTCTGAATTTGAATCTCGATATCCAGCCGTAAAAAACATTTTCTTAATTTGAATAAAAAATTAGATAGTTTAGTTTTGGAGGAAAATCGATTAAATAATTAATTATTTAATCGATTTTCCTCCAAAATATTGATCCATATATTCATGATTTATTTATCATTATTTATTTCTAAACAACAACTGTTTAAAGAAATAACAATTCTGTGCAAAATGTAATTTTTTATTTCAGTAAAAATTCTTCCCTCTCGATTCCAGTAAAAATCTTTGAATTTCAGAACGAAAACTGAAAATAAGTAAAATTTTCCCCTATTCTTAGAACGTTTTCATGATATGATCAATTGAAAGAAAAATGCGATCATTTAGACATAACGTTTGTTATTTAATTGATGTTTATGGATATAAGATAACGCGTGGGAGTGAGCATTCAGGAAACAAAGGATGCAGAAAGATTGATCGAATAGTGAAGCTTGACTCGAATAGAATGACGTTGACATCAGCTGGGCGTCGACCCAGGTGGCATTCCATCGGTCTCCACTCACCGTTGATTCAGTAGTTCCCTCAATTGCAATCGTTGGAGTCATTAATGTTGAGAACAGTAACACTTTCACTAGGTTTAATGCCATCATTTTAGATTGTTTCAATAGTTCAAATGTGAAAAAAATGGATTGGCTATTTCATTTCACGAGTTGAAATTGTCACTGCCTATTAAACCACAAAATAATTACTTCTATTGTTATTTTCATTCTTCGGCAAATATCGAAGTAAGATGAAAACGTAAGCTCTCGCAGACTCAAATATCATGATTTAAAATGAAGTAGATGCATACACCAATGGGAAAATGGAGAAGGAATTTTCATTAGTTCACGACATCCTAGAACTTTATTAAGATCACATTTTCTTATTTACGCCGGAGGCATTTTAAATTCTCATTTTCCTGTCATTCGTCTTTACTAGAATGTCTTGAAATCGATACCACCGTTATAGGCGTCCTCCAGCGACCTCCCGACCTACCCGATATTTGATATTAGCACATAATAAACAATAGCCCCCCAGGCGAGGCGTTATTTCTCGGGCCATCCCACACTCGCATTTCTACGTTTGTTAAGACAGCACTTCTCACGCGTCATAACTCCAATTCCCGCAAAAAACCAAGAGTTCACCGAGAGTTTTTTTCTGTTTTCAGAACAGAGGAAATATTGCCTTGAGGGAAAAAAATTTTTCTCTTGCAGATATTGAAGTACTTCGAAGATTTAGAACTGAAGATTATCAATTATTGAATTTGTGAATTAAATTGCGAAAAAAATTCGGAGAAAATTGTGAGTGAACTGAAGAAATGAATTGAGGGGAGTTGATTGATCGAAGAAATACTAGTGTTCAAAGATTTTTGTCTGAAATGAACAGTTGACACTGAATGCGATTGAGGGGAATAAAAATCATTAAATTTTAGGTTCAACTGAAAATTCAGGAAAATTCCAGAATTTTAAGCAGCATAACGACGAGAATTGCCTAATTTATTTCAATTTCTAATCTAATATGAATATTCAGTGCCAAATTGCATTGAATTTTCAGCGAAATCTGAAATTTCATGATTTTTCCCCCTAAATCGCATTCAGTGCCACTGTCCTTAAAATTCAAGAATATATTTACCGGAGTTTTCAGGCTTTCTATTCATTTCCAAGGAAAAATGGAACTGAAATTTACAGTTCTCTTTGATTTTTCCGCGAAATTCTGAATTTTTAATGATTTTAATTCAATAAAAATTTCCAAAGACTGTAGCGGAAATTACCAGACAACATTTTTTAAGTGTAAATTGAAGAAATATGAACTTCAAAAAACCATGTCAAAATATTCGAAAAATTTTCACAAAAATATTAAATTGTTTTCCCGTCGAGCAAAACATTCTTCATCTGACATCCAAGACATTTGTAATTTTCCCAGGAAATTAAATAAATCGAAAAACTGTATGAGCAAGTGATGATCAAACACGGAGGCTGGTTTTTCCGGGAATTAAACGAGTTTCACACCTCTAAGTTGCTCAACCGTACCAACAGCAGCGGCGATAAAAGTCAATCTTGATTATAATCTTGAAAAATTGATCGTCGATCGATTGATGTATTACGTTTTTCCAGACAAGATGATACCTCATCACACGCACCGCATCGAGACAATTTCCGGAAACGTCTTTCAAGATTCTGCGCAATCGCCTCATAAACGTTTTACGATCCACGTGATAAGATTGCTCTGCACGGATGGAGTATCAATAGCCGGGTAATTTCGAATATCACCCACGCGTTTTGCTTTTCCCTTCCTCATTTATTTCGTTCATCAGGCATGATTGGTTTTAATACTGAAATTTATCACGTATTATGGATTTGTTGGTTTGTGTTACGTTTCGGTATTTTCGAATTCGTACGAAAACATTTAATGGAAAAACCTAGTGAATTCGCTAGACAATTCTGTCGGATTTCTATTGAACTTTATATTAGCTTGAAACTGATTCTATGGAAATGTTGAATAGAAAATATTCTATAGAAAAAATCAATAGAATTTAAGCCGAGGAAATTCTATAAAAAATATCCCAATAGAATAAGTTGTGTAGTAAAATCGAATTCTATAGACTTTTTCAATGAAATATTTTCTATTGAACATTTCAATATTCGCCAGGTTTATCTGTCAAATTTTTTCACGGCAGTACGCATAAAAAATCCTGAAATTTTTAACAACTTGTTCACATGAAAATTTCGTACATCGATTCGTTGCAAACAAACCAAGGAGTCAACTTTTTCAAGTTAAAAATTACGACCACGAAGAACGGGAGGACAACATCGCCCCAGTAGTTCTTCAGATTTTGCAATAAAACAAGTGAAAAACGCCGAAAAATGTTATTTGTTTCTAATTCAATTATAAAAAAAACATGACTAATATGAAAAAAAGGAAGAAAAATAGTAACTTTTTAATAACTTAATGATTCTATCGAAAAAGACGCAATTCCATTTTTCTTCTACCCAAAATGCATCCTGATATAACTCTGGGCTGACTGAATTCCAATGAAAATCGTCCCAACAGTTGTTCATTTATTTGGATAAAACGTTTGCGTCTATTTCCGTTTTTTTCTAATAAATGAAGGAAAGAGAATTGGTTGGGGAGTTATTGGTTCAATCCATAATGGGTCATAGCAACAACCAAAAAAATTCTTCGGCACTCTTCAATAGAACAGGTTCAAAAACTAATAGAATTTTCAATAAAAGTTTAATAGAATTTTCTATCGAATTCCCTAGGCTGTTGAGAGCTGTTATCAATAATCGTCGAATGAGTCCTTTCCCCCCACCATACGCCCAGAACTCCCAACATCTCCCAGATAGAACGGCTCTATTATAAACCAAATAAGTTTCACATTGAAATTGCCTCATAAAGATATCCCTCCATTAATGCATCCATACTTAACTCCGGATCAGGCCCACCTAAGCTACAAATTCCCTCAGCTCTTGGAAATTTTTCGCTTTTCCCTCGATAGATTCACCTGGTCTACCTCCAAGACCTCCCAGAAACTGCCCCTAAACCCCAGAACTCTATAAAAGACCCCACGGAAACTGCCGATTAACGCGTGGGAAGGGAGCGCCCAGTGGCAGATTTATAAACGCTAATTTGTCCAAAACAAGTTTCACATGTTTTCCACCCGATGCAAGCGTGTCTCAGTGAAAGTTTAGAGCAATCCTTATCATTCACTCCCGAGTTTTTCATAATTTTTATTATAATCCAAAAGGTAACGGATAGGTGCAAATTCAATCTAACAACGTTGAAAACCAGATGGTGACTAATGCACAACGTTTCTGCATAGGTTATCTGCCCACTGATATCCCCGTGTTGAAAGAAGCACCCGTACATACACAGTTTTTTACTGCTCCCATTCGCTCAACCACTGTTGTCATTAAAATACATTTAAAACATGGAATTTGGTCAAGGTAGTGCTCACAGAGGGAAAAAAATTTTATTTCCAGGGACACTTTATTGATCTTCAGGGAAGCATTTCCAATTATTAAGGACATGCCGCTGATTTTCAGTGAAATTTCGAGGAATTTCGTCGATGAAAATTTACAATACACACAAAATTATGTTTCGCTGAAGAGATCTGTTGTCGTGTTGAATCAATTTACTTGTGGATAAAAAAGAAAGTTTTCAGTAAAACATGATAATTTTCATAGTAGTAATTGTTCTCGTGCGACATTTGACTTTCGGGTAAATACATTCGTTCTACAGAGAATTATATGAGGCTCCGATTCTATTAAGTGAATGTTATTGAGTAGGATATATCTTTGTGCAATAAACACTTATAATTTCAATGGAACAAATGATAATTTCGAGGGCACAATTTTTTCTGAGAAAAAAATATTCTTTCCTCGTCAATGTATTCTTTCTACAGTATAAACCTAAGGAGTTCTCTCAGATCAAATGATTGTCGTAGAATATGGATTATATTTTTTCCTGCCAACACATCGAATTCTTCTAGGGATATTTCTGATGATCGCGACAAAAATTTAATTTTTGCAGAAGATAGTAGATTTCCAGTTTGTCTTTATGGGGGTTTTTTACTCGTGGGGAGACAACATTTTTCCGTAGTGATTTTCATTTTTACGAGTGGAGGAAAGTGCTAATACCAATCTCCGGACTAGGCAAAGTGAAGAGCAGTATGGAAAATTAAATTTCCTTCTATCAAGTTGGGCAATATCTCTCAAGTAAATTCGTTCTACTCCATTAAATATTCTCATATGGACATAGTTTTTCGTCAGAAGTAAATGGAAACTGTAAATTTCAGTTAAATTATTCCATGAAAATTGATAGAAATCAGGAAAATTCAAGTAATAGTACTCTTGAATTACAATTAATTGAAAATTGCGTGTAATTCGTAACTGAATATTCCTGTTTCAATCGAAAATTCAAGTAAATTGGGAAATCCTCGTTTTTCTACTGCTGAAAATTCATAATTTTATTGAGATTGCAGTGGAATCTAAAATTTTATGACTTCTATCCCTTGAAACAAATCGAATGTCACTCCTGGCAATTGCTAGTCAAGTGTCCAACAAATTTCAATATTTCGTTCAACAATGTATTAGGAATCCGCGATTGTGAAATTGTGAAGATTCGTCATTTTGTCACAAATTGTTCGCAACAATATCAATGATTTTCAGGAACTCATCACAAATTTTTAATTCGCCTTTTATTTCACTTTGTATTTTTACACTGAGGTCCACATTCATTATATTCATTGTCTGTTACCAATCATTGTTATCACCAATAATTGGTAATAGATTCCTAAAAATCAGTGGCACATTCCTGCAAATCAAGAATTTCTGTTCCTTGTGCTCGAAAGAAACAAGAAATAAAGTCAGCATTTTACAAGCAAATAAAACTTCTCCCTAATAATTCAGAATATTCAGATGCCCGGGGCCTGCTTTTCTGAATAATAAAGTCACGAGTTAAGGATGTTGTAATAACAATAAATATATCAAAGTATCACGTATCCAAGTGGTGCGAGAGGGAAAAATAAACGCACCGGGGAAGAAATTTCATAAAACGCTAGTTCTGCTTCATATCAGCAAATGGAAATGCCAGATCGCCAGGAATTATGCACTATTGGGTACCTGTGTGTGACGATGTCTAATCTACATTGCCTCGATGCATAAACAGTACCACGTGATCGGGTGCAGTTAAATAATATTAGTTGAATGAGCTGAGAGGAGTAGAGACAAAGTATAAAATATCGAGGGGAAGCGATATGCAAATGGAAATGCTGGACGAGTTGGATAATCTACGACTGGAGTGCGTGCATTCAGGTTATTTGCAGTAGTCATCGTGTCTCATTTTGAGTTTTACAGGTAACCAACGAATAAATGAGGATGAATGGTAATGACAGGGATAATTATTTCCGCGATCGGAAAAATGAATTCTGATCATTTCAGGGAATACACCTGTAGAGTCTGATAATGGGGGGAGGGGAGGGGGGTTGGCGATTCTAATATGGCGGTGGTGAGTCACGTGCTGCCCACATGACCAATGTCATCAGCACCGGTTTTCGAGTTTTAAATGTTGAGTCGGAGAGATACCTTTTTTTCCCTCTCAATTGGATCTCGAGCGAGATAACATCGCTCTATGCGGCGAGCTCTAATGCATAATTCAAGTGTAAATCCTTCCGGGAATGGGGGAAAAATATACACCTGATCCAGAGTACATGACTCCGGTTGGGATTTTAGTTTTCTTTTGATCTTCTTTTTCGCGGGTTTTCTTTTCGGCGGTGGAGGGACCGGGAGATCTGCGGTTTGCGGATTCTGATATCCAGAATTTTACCAGAAATCGAATTCATGCATAAAAACATTAATAAGCAACGAATATTTAAAAAAATAACAATTCTATGCAAAATGCAATTTTAATGAGCTGAGTATTCATAACGTTTTTCAGAATTTTTCTCATGCAATTTAATTGGCTAATTTCATGATTGAAAATGTTTGAATCTATAGTCTGATCTGTACCAAACTGTAATAGATATTTGGATATCCTTGAAATCCTGAAATTTCATTTTCTCTCCCCTGAAATGAATTCAATGTCACTCTCCTACGAGTTACTACTCAACTGTCCATCAGATTTTATGTTTTTTCTACCAGTGTAAAGAGCAATTAAAAATTCTCGGAAAACCACTGCATAATTACTAAACAAGACTTCAAGGATAATCTTCTCGAAAGACCGAGAATTTGAAATGGTCTTTGCATAGTAAATGTGAGGGACTTGATCATCTCGAGGGGCAAGATAATAAAAGCATCGAGAACGCGGAAAATGCCTCGGAAAATTTAAATTCTACACAGTGAAAAATGGAATCCCGTGAAAACGTTTTGAACTTGGAATTTCGCCAAAATTTTCCACTGGATTGGACGCAATTACCCAAATTCTGGACAATATCCAGGAGCCTCAAAGATTTATTGACAATTCACTTCGGTCCGTCGTAAAGTTGGAACTCGTCCTGTTGAGGACTTTACAAAAATTCTGGGTGACACTCACCGACGCCAGTATAGTCACTAGATATCTCTGCGTTTTCTCAAAATCCAGGGTACGATTAACCGTGACTTGTCCCTGATGTGGCAAATTAATGCTGAAGTAGCCATAACCATCGGCGGTTGTTATTCTATCCCTTCCAACGCCATTGCTGTTGCCAATTCCAGTTCCATCACCAGGCGCTATCGAGTACTCCACGAGTCCATTGACACCAGCGTCAGCGTCTGTCGCAACAACATTCTGGAATATCGTCGAGCCAACTGGTGTCAGCTGAGAACAATAAAACAAAATTATTCATCTTGGGTTTATGCGAGAAGCGAGTGGATCCATAAAAATGTTTCATTTCACGGGGAAGATCGAGTTTATTGGGATGAAAGAAATTTTTTATATAAAACCTCAGGAAGCAATACAACTGAAAATTTCATGTGGAAATAAAAAGTTTTTTTTTAATGTCATTTATTGCAGTCGTTAATTATTACGAGGGATTCTTTAGTTAGACTCGCCGTGCTGGAAAATTACATGTAGAATTTCAAGGATGGATGAGAAATTTAATAAACGAGTTGAGCTTAACAATTGGAATCAAATTCACAACATTAAAAATTGAAATGCAATTATTCATTAAATTCCAGAAATTTCTAAAAGATTGCGAATAAAACATTGGAATGAACGACGATTTCTAAAAAAATAATCTTGTGTGCGTTTTTAACCGCAATTATCTCCCAATTAATGCAAATTTTCGGGTCTCTATAACTTAATGATATTAATTGTCAGAGAAAAAGTTCTTTTTACGACAGCATAAATTTGAATGCACGCGTTAATTGAAAAAAATACTCTGAGTGGATAAACAAAATTAATTACCGCAAACGAAAATATCCGAAGGTTCTACAAATTTATCCACAATTAAATGAAGCCTCCATAAATAGAATGAAATACTTCTCCCCTGAACGTCATCCAACCCACTTTTATAATAAAAAAAATATTGCATACGTTTTTAACTTCATAACTTAACGATATTAATTGACAAGGAAAAATTACTTTTTCACAACAGGACAAAAAATTTGAATGCACGCGTGAAACTAATTGGAAAAAAATGGCTTCAAGTGAATTAACAAAATTAATTATCTCAGGAGAAAATATCCAAAGGTTCTCCAAACTTATCCACAATTAAATAAAACCTCCATAAATGGAATAAAAGACTTCCCCCCTGAACGTCATTCGATCAAATTCAAGAATAAAAAATGATCTTGCATCGTTTTTCAACTGCAATTATCTTCCAATTAGTCCAAATTTCCTGCTCTCCATAACTTAACGATATTAATTGACAAAGAAAAATTCATTTTTACGCCAGGACAAAAAATTTGAACGCATGCGTGAAACTAATTGAAAAAATTGCTCCGGGTGAATAAACAAAATTAATTATCACAAGAAAAAATATCCGAAGGTTCTCCAAACAAATGTGTAATGCAATAAATCGCCCATAAATAGAATGAAATACTTCTCCCCCCCCCCTGAACGTCGTTTAACCAAATTTAATAATAAAAAATGATATTGCATGCGTTATTAACTGACATTATTTTCCCATCAGTTCAAACTTTCTGCTTTCCATAACTTAATTATATTAATTGACAAAGAATGTCAATTAATATCATGAGATTAATAAATGTCTTTTTACGACAAGACAAAAAAAATTGCTCCGAGTGAATAAACAAAATTAATTATCACAGGAGAATAAATCCTAAAGTTCTCCAAACTAATTCACAATGGAATAAATCGTCCGTAAATAGAATGAAATACTTCCTCCCCCCGAACGTCATCCAAACAACTTTTATAATCCCCCCCTCCCCTCCGCCACCCTGGATGATTTTTTGCCGACGTGGGAATGCGCGTCAAATTGTGGCAACCGCAAACCGGTATACACATCGTCCCTCGTAATGACTCGAAACTCAGCGCAATTCTATTATAACGGTCTTTGATATGCGGAAAAGGCGATAGAATTTCATAATTTTTTGTGTCTATATTTTACTTTGTATATAACTCGTCATCCCATGGCTATGCCTTGTTAAAATCATTCCACGTGCCAAGCGACGATGCTCAGACATATTTCGCAATTACGCGCCCTCTCACGGCTAATTAAACTCGTGATGCAACAATTTTGCGAGAGGGTAAAAAACTCGGGCATAAACACAACGTCGGGTTTTCTTTCTTTCGCGATAGTCTTCACCGGGAGACAGTCGATGTTTTCATTTTTTTACGAGTGAAGGCGGATGGCACCGGGGTGTAATCACTGCGCTTTTTACCGGTAATCACCTGGAGAACCCGGTTTAACGATCTAAACACTTTGGAACAGTTAACAGAGCACTTGATGATACTAATAAAATGTCAATAATTGTTGCGTTTAACCCCTGAAAAACGGTATTTCAGGAGCAAATTTCACAGCAATCGTTTGTCGAAGATGTGGACATTCCCCATAGATTGGATTTCCATGGACATTCTCGAGGGTATGACGTTCTCATTACGTATTTTTATGATTTTACACCAGTCGACATCGGAATCATCGCGTCAGGCGTTACTTGGTGTCGTTAAAAAGTAATCCAGAGTGGAAGAGTGATACAGCTTCCGGAATTGAGGTGATTGAGTTTTTAATCGGTGTTACGTCTATTTTCTCTCGAGTATTATTGCTATTTATGAGCTCGAGTCATATATCATTAAGAATTCTGTGGTGAGGGGCAATCTATGAGTCATATGTTTATTCAATTTCAAATTGGCGAAGGGTGGTACACGTTTTCCGATGGGATTCTGCAAATTCAAGGCATCGTTTTGAATTATTTACACTGTTGGAAATTTTCAGATGATATTCCTGATGAGTGACTATTCCATTGATATTTCAGGAAATTTCGGAATTTGGAAATCGTAATTTTGTAGGAAAATTAATGGATAGTTTTAATTTCAATTCCATGATTAATTTATTGATTAGAAATTAGGGACGTTTAGGTAAATAAATTCATGTTTTTAAGTGATCGGAAATATGAAGTTTATATCAATATTAAATATGCCTGCTCAATTGAAAATTCAATGTAATGTCGTACTGAATATTGCGGTTGCAATTGTAAATTGCGAAATTCTCATATTTCTGTTGCTGAAAAAATTAAGAATTCATTGAATTTTCAGTGAAGTTTGAAGTATTGTAATTTTTTAAACCATCAGCCATTTTTATTACATATTTGATGTTTTCGAAAAGGAAAAAAAAATCTTATCGAACATTTTGAAAGTTCCCTTCAGGAAATCCGCATGACGATTCGATCCATCAAGTCTTCATTGGCCATAATTGAATACAGAATAATATTCAGGACGATAATAATTCTCATCATCACCATCATCTAACGATATTTTTGAATCTTCAAAGACTACAATCACTTTATTAATGGTAAAAGGTAGAACCGGAATACTCGTGACGAATTCGATGAATTGAATTCCCTTCCCTCAATTCCTTTCTCGCGCCCCTAAAAATAATAAAACCAACTATCCAATTTATGTTCAGTAAACTCACCTCAGGTACTGTAACTTCGTACGGTGTGTTAACAAACTTGGGTGCATTATCGTTGATATCAGAGACCCTGACAATAACTGGAATGATTCTCTTCTTATTCGTTGATTTAACAGTGCAAGCCAACTGTAAATGACCAAAGAAAAGTGTTTATTCATCAAAGTCAGTGTATTTCGATCAGGTGGTTTGTTAAGCATGAACTGGCATCAGCAGACAGCCACCTGCCTGCTGTTTGTCTCCGGAGAATAGCTGCGATGAGAGGAAGGGAAAAAATATGACTCTCTAGAATGGGGCAAAATAACGAGATTCATGAACCGTTAGAACGTCTGAGAGAGACAGAGCCGGTACATTACGTATATTACATTCACGAACGGGCATTTTCTTTCCAGAGTAATTCATTAGTACTTTGATGAAATATAAGTGTCTTTTTACGCTTACAAATTAAATAAATGGAACGATCTATTCGGACACGGAGAAGACGCGAACGGCACTCTCTGAGGAAGTGATTTTCCTTACCTGGAAAACAACGTGCGACAAATTTTCATTGTCTCTGTCTAATGGCTTCAGCAGACGCAGTTTTTTTCCATTGAGGGTGAAGAGGGGCGCTTTACCGGGGAATATTAACTCCAGGGTGGTCTCATTGTACGGATTCCCCGAGACCGGAAGCTCCTCTGGCACGGTTGGTTGGTCGTATGCTGTGTCGATGAAACAAAAAATGATGGGGTGAAAAAAGGAGAAGGAAAAATAAAAGAAACTTTCTATTACGGAGATACAGATTTTCTCTGATTGAAAATAGATTTCTTATCTCAGAGGCCAATATTTAAATGGACAAAAAGAGTGATTGTTTTGTCTCAATGGTTTTGGAAATTTTGCAGGAATGGATTTTGCGGAATTAAAATGATTTCATCCAAATTTTGGAAACTATGAAGAGAAAATATCGTAAGTTGGCTTTCGCAAAAAATGAAGGACTATATTTTTACGGATTTTTTCCAGTTGATCTCGTGAGCTTTTTGAAATGTCTGTTTTTTTTATTCGAGAAAAATTGACAGAGTTCTTCAGTTTGCTAGAGAATTCGCGGATTTTCTGAATAATTCAAGAAAATTATCCACTTTTAATTAATTTTTCACTTATTATTCATCTTCATCATTGAATTTTTTTTCTATCTTGATTCACTTTTATAGTGCATTCATAAGCGTATGAAATTGGATACATTTGAAATTTAAATGAAGAAAAGGAATCAGTGCGCGCGTCCTGTCTAGTATTTGATAAAAACCCCCATAAAACTGAAATGTATTGAAAGGTAGATATTCTTTTCCCGAATTTACGATTAACATTCGGTTCAAGGCGAATGGGAGTGTGGGCGAGGCTATTCAATTCGAATTTTGAATTCCGCTGATGAGATTTTCGCATTCGCGAAATCCCTTTGACGTCAGTGTTATCAATAACTAACAATACCTCGGACTGAACTAATGGAAAATCCCTCGAAATACGATTGACTATAAATTGACTATAAATGATGACCTGTCATCAAAACCTATTGAAAATCTAAACTTTTACTTTTAACGAGCCACCTGATGGATCGGCAGAAGTTAATGAGAAAATTCTCTAGTTCCTTAGAAAACTTTAGAAAAGTGTCTGTTTTTTTTTCGCTTGAAAAAAATGTATAAAATTATTCAGTTTTCTAGAGAATTCTCGGATTTTCTGAATAATTCACGAAAAATGTCCACTTTTATGAAAAATCTATTCATAACACTTCCCTTATTTTTCCATAATTAGAAGTATCCATCGGGTCGCTTTGACAATGACAAAAAATTGATAAAAATTTTAAATTATTCGCTAATTTTTCACTTATTATATCTTGATTATTAATTACGATTTTTTAATGTATGATTCACTTTTATAATGCATTCATAAATGTATGGAATTGAATACATTTGAGATTTGCATGAAGAAAAGTCTAGTATTTGATAAAATGAGAGTAGGCGAATCTATTTAATTCCAATTTTGAATTCCGATGACCATGCACTCGCAAAATCCCTTCGACGTCAGTTTTATCAATAACTAACAATACCTCGGACTGAACTAATGAAAAATCCCTCGAAATACGAAGTGAATTGACGATAAATGATGACCTGTCATCAAAACCTATTGAAAATCTAAAATTATCTGAAACGAACAGATATTGATTTAACTTTTAATGAGCTACCTCCTGATGGATCAGCAGAAGTTAATGATCATCAGCATGTGGAATGGCGTTGCTGATGCAGCTGAGCTCTAGATTATGATCGAACTTAACAAACGAGCTGGCCACGGTGGTGGGCAGGTATATCACGAGTGGAATGATGGGGCCCAGTTCACTGTATCCGAGTAACATCGTAAAACTGCATTCTGGCACCCATTGCACAGCGAGGGAAAATTACTTCCTCATGCGAAGCCCCATCGAATCGAGTGTATAGGGGATAATTGATGTTTCTCGGATGGGGGTTTTCAGCTACCCAATTGCGTCTGAAGTCGTTAGTGACACCTTACTCATCGGGTTATTTATTTTTGATGGAAAAACTTTGACGATATTGGAAAAATCGGAGGAGGAAATCCATTCACTTTGTGATTCCGGTTTGAATGAATTAATTTGGCGAGTTTGATGCGCCTTTCCGATGAATAAATTTGAATGGTGATGAGGGATTAATGAAGAATATCGATAAAGTTTAGGGTGGGATTCTTTGTCAATAGTTTTGCATTTTGGAACGATTGAGCGACGGTGAGAGGAGTTCCTATTCTTCTTTAATAGGTGATTTCTTTTTCTATTATTTTACAACGGAATTCGTAATAAATGAATGAATAAGTATGAGTTTAGACTGTTGGGGATTTCTTGACGTTCAAGTATGGAATCTAGAGAAATAACGTAGTTGAATCGAATACAAGTCTCTATTTGAAATTTTTTAAATCATTTCAACAAAATTTTTGTTGATAATTGGTGAATTCATATTTATTTCAATAAAAAGGTTTTATATATACAATGGAGAATTCATGTTGAGTAGTAAATAAATCCTCTTTTCCGAGTCGAGGATTTGGTTCTGGTTGGACGTTCAGGTCTTTCAAGATCTCTCCAAACCGTAGATTGACCTGGTAAGTCCTAATCAGTTCTGCGACGAAGTTTTCCGGAGACCTTCCGAATCCTCAATTCTTTTCGGTCGTGAGAAGTCCTCCTCTATACTACCGAGACCGCGGGATTTCACGAGGGGGTGGAGGGGAAGGCATGTATGCGGAGGGTTGAAATTTGTAGCCAATGAGGAGAGAGGGTTGCAGAATATATTTTAGCCACCCTCATATCTCCGTTTGCAGGCGGTGTTTAAATAAAAAATAGTGAACGTTAGTTCTGTAGTTATTGACCCCCTGATGCCAATGAAACCCTCGGAGGTGACAGAAAAGACGAAAAAAAACGTTCATTTTCAGGTGGGTCAAGGGTCAGGGTGAAAGTCGATTTTCGCCAAAATCGAATTTTTTCACCAAGTGAAGGTTGATTCCGTATTTATTGGCTCTTCGAGTGCCAATGAAACCCTCGGAGGCGCCAGAAATGTCGAAATAAAGATTTTTTTTTTCACCAGGGGCAAAAGTGTCAGATCTTGAATTTTTCCCGGGGGAAAGTCGATTTTCGCCAAAATTGAATTTTTTCGCCAAGTGAAGGTTGATTCTGTATTTTCTAACAATTCTGACAATTATTGAAATAAAAAATTTTTTTTCACCGGGGGCCAAAGCGTCAGATCTTGGATTTTTTCAGGGGGAAAGTCGACTTTCGCCAAAATCGAATTTTTTAGCCGGGTCAACGTTAATTCCAATGATTTAAGCGACGGGCTATCCAGAACTCTCAAGAGTATGTGGAAAAAGTGAAAATTGAAAAAAAAAATTTTCATCGGGGGTCCAAATGTCAGATCTTGGATTTGGAAAGTCTGAATACAACTCCTGCTTATACCTAACGAGTGCTGAAATGGGACATAGCCAGAGGTAGAAAGGTCTCGGAAGCACTTGGGAAGAGGCTTCCCAAGACCTATCCAGTTCTGAACGGAAAGACCTAAGTAGAACTTGTCAGGTCCAATTATTCGACTCGGGTTTAGAGTCAAATAAATGGATCAATTGATTCAAAAACGAATTATCACCGTTCCAAAATTACTGTAGAAATTTCAAATCACTTTAGGTATTTTTTCCGTGAAAGATTCGAGGAGTCATGAAATCGGGAGATATCATTGAATTTCCCCCTTTGATTTTGAGCGCATTACAATAACTTCAAGTCATGTTTGAACTTAAATAGAAGCTTAATCACTAGCAGTCTGAATAAACCCATTAAATCCCGTTGCTGCCCATAAAGTTCATCGAATGCAAGTAAACCGGTGCATTTTCCCAGCTCAGAAGGGAAATTTGCGGCATTTTGAAACGCAGATATAGTACTCCAATAAAATTGAGTTGCCTACGACAAGGGCTTAACAAAGCTGCGTCATGAATAATTTATGATCAAAGTGCAGTGAATGAAGAAGAAGAGAGAAGACGACTGGTAAAATCCGTGTCCTCGGGGATCAGACAGAGTCATCGCGTGCACTAACGTAAGCATGTACTTACAACCGTGACGCGACGAGGCTTGGCACCTTTCTAAACTTTATGTGAGTATTCATAGAACCGCTCGCCGAGTGAATTTGAAAAACCCCATGGTTTCATGGGTTCTAATGTACTCACCACTGCCTCGACTCTCCTCGATGTCTAGGATGATGTTGGACTGGCCTGTTATCTCCTCGCATAGTCCTGAAATTGAGAAAGTCCAAATTTCGTGACAATGAAAACAAACAAACAAACAAACCACTGCTCATTACGAATATTATAATTTTTTTTCGTCACATCGTTTTCATTTCCTCTCGATTGAATCATTCAAAATTTCACTTTATTATGCAAACCAATTAAAGTAATTTGTATAACTGGATATGAAGGCATGAAAAGTGAAATTAAAAGTCGATTAACTCTCGTAATAGCCAGTTTACCATTAAATTTCTACAAAACTGTAATCTTATCGTTGTCTCCGCAATAAATTCACTGAATATATTGAAAAATACAAATGTGAAATAAAACGGGATAAAAAATGAATGTCAATTTGCTGAGGTTTTATGGACCAGTTGACATTTCTGGTGAATTTTAATGAAACATTTACTATTTAATGGGCGGTTCTCATTTTCATGCGGCGGGTTAATCGCCTGTGGGATAATAAAAGTGAGTAGTGAAAATATTTAGAACCTACGACGCACCTGTCGAATAGGTGAAAAGTAACTTTGGGGAGGGAGTGGGGAAGAAAGAAGCACTAACACTTCCTGCGTGGCCATAATTAGATGCATTTGCAATGAGTTATTGGATAATCAAAATTTACCGTTCAAAACGCCTCTAACCGTCGGCTCGATACGGTGTTCCGACAGCGTTAACATCGTGCAGCCCACACGTGACTGTCAGTTCACTATTTTTTCATTGGGGTTTTATTTATCTTCAGGGGCGGCCTTTTTTTATTTGACCTTTATCACCGCGACACGGTGGATATTTCGTAATCAAATCTACCGTGATTTTATGACAGGAAGCGGGGGAATTTTCAGGGGAATTTTCGGTGGGTGGGGAAAAAGGAATTAGAGGAATTTTTTTTATAGAGAAGTAACTTGTTATAGAGACGAGGTAATACCATTATTTATGGGTGATGCATTAGTAGGAAATGATTGACATTTCGTGGACTTGGAGATTGATGTTTCAAATCAATAAATGATTTTAAATCCCGGAATTCTTCCGCAAATGGTGTTTCTACTGAAATTTTAGAAAATCTCTTTTTTACCTAAATTCTAAGTTGTCTAAGTTTTTTTTCGTGAATCAAATGCCCCTCTCAATTAATTAATTGCTGGATTACTACTAGACTGTATCCATAAAATGCATTTTTTTCAAAGACTAATCCAGATTAGTTTTTGCTCTCGTTAAGATTGATAATAAATCACAAGTAGAAAATCCTTTATGTGTAAGACGAATTCGTTTTGGTAATTAATATTCAGATTTTAATTAAAAATTCCAGTAAGTTGTGGAATTTCCGTCCTATTTCGACTTGAAACTGTCTCATTATTCCAGTTCTACTTGGAACTTGGAATTTTATGAGCCATTACCTCCTAAATCGAATTCAATCTCCTTGTTAATTACTTAATTACTAAATGACTATTAGTTTTGCTTCATGAAATCTCCTTTTCGGCACAACGAATTCAAATATTTTTATTCTTTCATTGAAACTTTTTTTATTTGAATAAAATTTGAAGATAATACGTAAGTAGAATATTACGTGTGGGTCAGACAAATTTGTTTTGGCAATAAATATTCTTATTGGATGAAAAATTCCTGGAAGTTGTGAAATTTCCGTTGTATTTCTACTTTAAATTGTGATATTTCAATTCACTTGCATTGTACCTGGAACTGGAAATTCCATAAGCTCTTTCCGAATTTAATGTTCCTCTTAATGTCCCTCTTAATTACTCAATGACTTAATTATCACTAAACTGTCTCCATAAAATATTTCTCTACTCTCGTTGAAAATATTTCTAATTGAAATGCGATTTGAGGATAATTCACAAGTAGAAAATTACTTATGGGTCAGACAAACTTGATGTGACAATAAATATTCATATTTGATTAAAAATCCTCTATTAGAATTAAATAAACGATTTATTTGATTTAAATAAAGTTTACTTAATTCAAATAAGCCATCTTTCTGCCTGTAATCCGCAAGTAGGGAATCCTTTATAGGTAAGACAATTTCTATACGTCATCTATAAAACGATGTAATGTAATGTTAAATTTTCAGAATGAGTTCGAGAATTCGACTTTTTATTTAAATATCAATAATTCTAATGTCTTCAACATGAAAGCCTTAATTTTATTCGATTTTCAAGCTCGAAAGTAGAAAATCCTTTATGGATAAGACAATTCAGCAGCGAAGCGGTAAAACGGTTAACGTCGATTTTTATTGTTGGTCAGTTTTTAATGATTATCTCAATATCTAAGGCAGATATCAAAAATTCTGTCATAACCTTTTTTGTAGCCCTTACTTCGCTCTAGAAAGAAGGTCCTTGCGAGAATTTCGTTATCCGCTTCAGATTCGGAGATATTCTCAGAAAACTCAGTGAAGAACTGAGTGGTCTCAAATCGTTTTATCGCTTCGCTACTGAATTTCTGTACACCTCTAAAATTTCTCGTTGTCCCACATCGTCGCCTTCCACCTCCGATAAATGAAATAAGAGCTTCAGACGTAGGTCCCATGTTTCATCGAGCACAGATATAAAATTTTAAAGAGGAGCCGAGGAAAGTGAATGAGGAACAAGTGAAAATGTCATCATGCTGTAATCCAGTGAGCGGAAAAAAGATTGAATAAAAGATGGTGAATCGAGAGGAGCGGCATCATCGCATGCGCATCCTCGCGTACAATGCTTCGGGGTATCTGCCATTATACGAGTACCAGGGGTTTAACCTTTCAACTGGGAGACGAGGAGGCGGGAAGCCAAGTGTAACTCTACTATTTGCTGGGCTCCCTTTGTTGGCTCAGTGAATTTCATCTTATCTATTGTGAATGCAGCTGAAGAAAAGAATGACAGTGATAGTTGCAAAATGTTTCAATCATTTTTTAGTGCACGACTTTCTAGATCGATTTAATCTGTTCTACCGCAAGGGAAATTGAAGAATATTTTCAATAACTAAATTTGTGATTGAAACTTTCACTTGGGTTTCATTCGCTGTTTTTGAATGTGAAGAGTGGCGAAGGACTAGAATAGAAAGAATTGAATTTCAGTTCAATTATTTCAGGAAAATTGATAAAAATGAGGGAAATTTCCTCGGAAATTTCAGTTACAAATAGTCTTGAATTTCCAATTAGATGATAATTCAGCGTTATTTAGTACTGAATACTCATGTTTGCATTGGAATTTTCGTCTTCTTGTCGCGGAAAACTTCGAAATATCATTTAATTTTTAGCGACATGTAAAATGCCGTGATTTTTTACCTCTAAATAAGGTATATTCCAAGACAATCCCACACGGAGAGAAATTTTTGATAAAAATTATCCCGCCGTTCTATGAAAGTGTATCATGAGTCATCGTTTCCTCATTTCCATCCCGAAATTTAGCAAAAATTAATATATAATGATCAAATTTTAGTATGTTAGAGAAATTTCATCCTGATAAAAATAAAAATTACCGTGCCGACAGAGTAAAAATTACTGTACTGGTAGGGTAAAATTTATTATGCATCTGGATAAAATTTCTCTAACGTAGAATAAAATTTGATCACCATATATTAATTTTTACTAGATTTCGGGATAGAAATAAGGAAACGACGACTCATGATACACTTTTATAGAACGGTAGGATAATTTTTATCCTAATGAGCATTCTCATTAGCATATGAAGGCAATAACAACAACAATTTGAATCAAATAAGAAATTATTTGTTAATTAATGGTTTCAATCAAATAAGTCCTTCTGGAAACATCAGTCACGACCTGATGCTTCTTTATGAGACTGTTAGTCTCATGAATTCCTCGAACGAGAGGCTTTGTTCTCAAATCGAGGGCAATATCCCCAATTTGAGACCATTTTTCCTCAACCCACGAAGTGTGAATGAAACTGTTGTGCTGTGTGGAGCCGTAGCGGTTGTTTTACGACCACAATTTACGAAAATCACAGCTGCGAGGAGTCAAAACAAATGGATCCATTTCGAGAACACCACACCTCAAAGTGAGCGTTTATTACTATTAGTGAAGCGTTGGGTGATGGCCCATAATCAACCCGACTTTTTGTTTAGGCCGACGCTTGTGTGGTAGGCAGTTCCATCCACCCCGAAGAGGTATTAAGAGTGGGGATTCCCTTCCGCATTTTGCGAATTACAAAAAGTATGGACTTCCTCATTTCCTGGTAGCATCGCATGCCGGCTTCCATCCAAATGTGGATTAAATTCCCGAACGGAAAGTTGAGAATGCGAGGTTTGTGTGTATGAATATTATTCGAGTATATGGGCATAGAACTGCGTATTTATGGCGGTGAAAAATTGGTTGAAATCATTAGGATTTTACTGGTGAAAATCTTTGGGTGAAATTTTCGGGGCACCTCTTGGATATCTTTGTCTCACTGTGGTTCCACTAGAATTTGAAAGAATTTCGTTACTGAAAATTCCAAATTTTATGAAAAAATCAATGGAAACTGTAAATTTTAAGTCAATTATTCCAGGAACATTAATAATAATGAGAGAGATTCAAGTAACAATAGTTTTGAGCTTTTAATTCATCTTTCAATTAATTTGAATATTCATGTTTCCATTGGAATTTTCGTCTTTCTGTTGCTCAAAACTTCGCAATGTTATTTAATTTCTTGCACATTTTTTGTCTCATTATGGTTCCACTAAAATTTCAAAGGATTTCGTCATTGAAAATTCCAAATTACAAGGAAAAATCAATGGAAACTGTAAATTTCAGTTTAATTATTCTAGAAAAATTAATAAAAAACAAATAAATTCGAGATAATCCGGTTCTGAATAAAATTATACTAAGAAATTCTTGTCTTCCTCCTAATAAAATCTTTGGAATTCCATCAAATTCTCAATAAAATAGACAATTTTCGGATTTTCTCTCCTAAATCCAATTCCATACCACTCTCTCATTGATTTATGACGAAAAAATATTCGAAAATGTATTTTTTTGCCAAACAATTATTATCATTTTCAGTGTTTAGTAAAATTACTAATTATTCTCTCAAATAATTGACTTTTCACATTTTTCCATTATCACATGATTTTCCGTTCTCCATTTCTCCCAGATATGATTGACATGTCACCTATACGCGTCCGCGTACATATCTCATATCTCTTCCGTGTGGATCTTTCTTCCTCATCACCCCTTTAATTTTTTCGCCGCTTATGGATCAAATAATTCCCCTGGTGAAATGCTCCTGGTCTATTCTCCGTTCCTAAGTGAATTTTTCCAACGACGAAAAAGGAAACATTCCCACGATATTCTCTAATAGTACCCGGCAGTACACACAATTTCCACTTGCCAGATTTCTAACCGCCATGTAAGCCCCCTATAGAATGAATATCAGAGCAATTGCGCAAGAAGTAAATCAGTTGGGGCGTGTAAAGTGCAGTGGAGAATGGGCTCGTTACGCGTTTGAATATCTGGCCCCGATTTATCCCCAGCAGGGCGATCCAACTGCTGGTGGCCAGAGTCGGGCTATTTGCTGATCATTCTGTGGGGTAACTACTCGAATCCTTTGTTATAAAGGATTTGTTGGTTGAAGTGGCAATTGCTTCCGGAGGGAACTTTAGTGGTTTGTTATCGAAAAGCTCCTGCTGCTTACTATTTACAGGGGATTGCACTGTCTGCTACACCGCCAGTTGAACAAAAAGGGATTTCAATTTCAAGAAAACTCCGGGCGACAGTTGCAATAGGATTTTGTTTGGGCTGATGGAGAATTCAGAAAATTAAATTGGATTTGGCGATCGAATTTAAAGTTGTGATCTAATGGAGTTCTATAAAAGGAATTAGTTAGAGTTTTTTCTCGAGTTCAATCAATTTTCTGCAGATGATATTCTTTATATTTTGAGTAGAATATGAATATGAATATGAATATTTAAAATCAAAATGAGCTGGGTTTTTATCACTTTCATAAATTCTTAAAGTATAATTGAAGTGGGATTTACAGCTTTTTTTCAATAACATGATTTCCTGAAATTTCTGTGATTACTTAATAAAAACGTCGGGTATTTGATGCCGAAAATTCAGACAAGAATTTTGAATAGTAAACTATGATTTTATTTGAATGAAATAAAAATCTTCACTTGAAAATTTTCTGATGATTTCAACAATATTTTTCCGGGGAATTAATTAACTCTTTATTATTTATTTACTACAATGAAGGTTTCCTAAACAGATCACTCATTTCAAATTAATTTATTAGAAACAAATAAAGGATTCTTACAGATTGGTAAATTGTTTATCTTCCCTGTCAAAAAATGTTCAGATGATTTTGAAAAGTTTAAGTTTGAACAGAATCTTTATTACGAACTGTTTGAATACCCATTCATCTGCTTCAAAGAGAGCTTACTATATTCAAATAAATCATTCCTCTGGGTGTAATGTTAATCAAAACGTTCTCTCCATGCCTTTTCAATAATTGTTTGATGAAGTTTCGTTGGATAAAATAATGAACTTTCACTCACCAGCTTTAGCGATGACATTCCGTGGTATCAAACCGGAGCAGATCAAGCACAGTATCCAGAAGACACTCGACCGCGCCTGCAACATCATCAAAAACGAAATAATTAGTCATTACTGGTGATACCGGACGCCAACTAGAATGAACCTGATTATCAGTTATTTTTATCACTGAAATTTGGTGACGGATTCTCAAAAATCAACGATGATAAGACTGAAAACTGATCACAAAGTTACTAAATTTCACAATGACCCTAATAATTCCCTAAATCCCTAATAATTAATTGTATTTCATTTTCATTTTTATTCCACAATTAAGTTAAATACACATAAAGTATAATAATGAAATTGGTAAAATGAACAGTGCAACATAATACACATGACGGAAAGCATTACTTATATTAGTTATTACTTATACTATAAAGATTACTAGACTACCTAATCCATCTAAATGACTTGATAATATACAATTGGTGGTAAATTCCTTGAAATCAGTGACATGTCCCTGAAAATCAAAACTTTTTTTTCTCAGATGCAGTAGATTTTTCTAATCCACGGTCATATGTTTACTATGTTTAATGAGAAAAATTTAATTTCAAGAAAAGCGCTTTGCGCCAGAATTTCATAGAGGATTCAATATTTTGTTCTTTTATTAAGACATTACGAGAAATCAAATAGTATTTGATGACCTGAGATCTACCGTCGGGGGTGGAATCTGAAGGATGTATGAGGTTCTTCGAAACATGTAACTATTTTCCAATACCAAAAATTTATTCTGTATAATTTTGCCATTAATTACGATCGGCGGAATAACGCAGTTTCGGGCGCCCTAAGTGGCTAATTGAGGTTTCAATCCCTCAATTAGCACGACCAAGTCTTACCAGTATATCACGATACCACCACCACTCATCGATACCACCACCACTCAAGCGATAAATCAATCTTACAGGACTGAGCCGATGTATCGAGATTCATGGTTCCACGAATTTTGGGTAATGCGATTATGGATTACTGCCGAATCTACTTAATGGTTATCTTCCAGAGCCACTAGACTGTTGTG